ATTTATTCCCAACATGTTGGTACCAAATATCAACATGTCATCAACATAGAGACATACTATAACTCCATAATCCTTAGTAAACTTTGAATAGATACACTTATCTGCATCATTATGCTTGAATCCATTTGCTAGAATATGTGTATCAAATTTTTGATGCCATTGCTTGGGAGCTTGCTTTAGGCCATATAGTGACTTAACTAATTTACAAACTTTTCTTTCATTTCCAAGAAGTATGAAACCTTCTGGTTGTTCCATGTATACTTCCTCACTTAAGTCACCATTCAAGAATGCTGTTTTAACATCCATTTGATGCACAAACAGCTTATAAATCGAAGCCAATGCAAAGAGAACTCTTATAGATGTTATTCTTGCAACAGGAGCATATGTGTCAAAATAATCTATTCCTTCCTTTTGAGTAAAACCTTTTGCAACCAACCTTACTTTAAAGGTTTGTATTGTTCCATCTGTATTGTATTTTCGTCTAAATACCCATTTACAACCAATTGGTTTAGAACCATACGGAAAATCCACTAAAGTCCAAGTGTTATTGGACATGATACAGTCCATCTCATCATTCACAGCTTCTCTCCAAAAGGCTGCATCCCTTGAAGCCATTGCTTCTTGAAGTGTTTTTGGATCTTCTTCAACATTTAATACCATGGGTATTTTTCGAATTATTTCAGTTCTAGTTGCTTCAACTAGGAAGACAATAGATTGAGAAGAAATAAAATCAGGATCAAGAAACTTTTCTCTCCTAATCCTTGTACTTCTTCTTGGTTCAATTGAACCATCATTCTCTTTTCTTTTCTCCTCATGATGTATACTTGTACTTGTACCATTATGATTTTCATTCATTGAATTATTCAAAGAATTTTCAGAATCAAACATAGTAGAAGAATCTTTAATAAACTTGTTTTCAAAGAACTCAACATGTACAGATTCTACTATAACATTTGACTCTAAGTCTAGTAACCTATAGGCCTTAGAATTAATTGCATAACCAACAAATGCACTTCTAATGCCTCTAGGTCCTAGTTTTGTTCTTTGTGGGTCTGGAACCTTATAAAAGGCAAAACACCCCCACACTTTGAGATAATTCAGATTTGGTTTTTTACCATTATTCCAAGTCTCATATGGAGAAACATGAGTTTTCTTTGATGGAATTCTGTTGGTAACATGATTGGCAGTAAGAAGTGCCTCTCCCCAAAGATTAAATGGCAACTTCGAATTTATCAACATGCAATTAACCATGTCAACCAAAGTTCTATTTTT